TTTCTGGAACTATGGATAATTCCACGGATATTGAACAAACCAGAATACTTTATCAACAGATACTTAAATTTTCTCTATAAAACTGGTGATGAGACCACCATCACCACACTCCCTCAACTTCTCTCTCTCTACTGAAAGATCAAAGACCCCCTCAGCCAGCCAAAGGGATTCTAGTACTGATGATATATAACACCAGCTTTTTTTGAAATAGCAGTATATCAGTAGTGTGTAGAGCTAAGGTTATTAAACGAGCATGGCGATGTCCAGATAGTAAAGGGTTTTTAGGTGGGAACAAAACTATGAGCAGATTTTGTCAATGTGGTATTCTACTGAGAGAGACATATATAACCGAGATGCTCAGTTTTATACGAAACCACAGGTAGCCCAAGCTATCAAAATGACTGTTCAAATCTATCAAACCTTGAACATTACTATYGTAAAACAATCTCTAATGTTTGCTGTCTTAAAGCTCAAAGATAAACCAAGGTTCAAACTTTACACAAAGTATTGAGGTAAAGCCCTTTCGAAATACTATCGTCTTGTTCAGAATTCATTTTTTCCATGATTTTGAACCTGGATTCAAACTATCTTTTAGTTGCCATCATTCAACACGAATCCAATGAGTTTACTTTCGTTACCTTTGTACTCCTTGCTTTCCTTTAATTCATATATTTCCTTGACGAAAAGCTTTCTGTGGGCCCAAAAGGTCGAGTTGAGACCCCAGTAGTAAACRCGCAAATCAATGTCTGTCGCCATGTCGCCATGACAGGCGGWGCACCACAGGAAACCCATYATGGAAATTACGTGCCGATTGAAAAATAGACCGTTTTCTMAAGGTTGCGTGCGCATCGACCTTGACGGGCCACAAAACTGAAAAACACAAATTCAGTAAAATAGAGAAGCCAGTTTTATATTTACAGCTCTAAAGAGGAGAATAATCGATTTGATGAATTTTTATTGAAAAATCTAATAGAAATGTATGATAATTCTCATTATGAGGCTTCTGTTCTGGTATCGTGAAAGGTCAAGTTCCTTATATATGGATGCGCACGCAACCTTGAGAAAAACGGCCTCTGCTGGAAAAATTATTCAATAAGACCAACGAAGTATGGTCGAAACGTAGA